CACGATAAATCCGTTCGAGTCTGCGAGTCCGTGAACGGTCACCTCTGCGGTGCCTATATCGGCAGAATAATCGGCGACGATAAATTAACGCGGCGAGTCAAAGGTTTCGCTTTCTGATTTACGGCCGATCGGATCATCAGTGACGCGTGTCAAGTGTCAAGGCGATATCTTCGTCGCTTAGATCGCCGTATCGTCTCACGAGTCGATAGTGTCCCGCGGATGCGCAAGCGTATTAGGAAAGCGTACGCCCATTATGCGTAATGCGGCTTTGGGTGCCCATGTGATGAAGGGAGAAGAGAAGAAGTGGCATGAAGGAAGAGGGGTGCCCAGCTGACTTCCGGTTGAGTCACAGAGGCTTTGCAACTGTAAGAGGCGCAGGGCGCGCGTGGGTAACGAAAGGCCGTCGTGTTATTTTTTTCACGTCGCCAATGATGCTTTGGCAACCGTTGAATATCAATGAGAAGTTCCTCTCTGTATCTTCATTTTGTGTGAGCCTCTTAGAAGAAACTCATGTAGCCGTCTAAATAGCTATAATGAGATTATTGCTTTCTTATTGTAATTCTATTTGTAAAATATCTTTATGAGGATCTATGTAAAATATTAGGTGTTATATAAAAAATCAAATTAATATTTTAACATTTCTAATTTTATTAGAAATTAACAAAGTTTCGATTAAATAAAAAAACACTAAATACGGTCGAGATATCTTGTGGTGTCCAATAATATTTATATGTATAAATTTTTTAATATATTTTCTAGTTATAAACTCTGCGCCAAATACCATCAGATTTAAATGCGATCATAAACAGAAATTGGAATAATAAAAATATCACAAATTAAATTGATCGTCAATTTAACAATGCTAATAATTATTTTAAAACACTGAGAGGAACTGATTTCGAAAAATGTTAGTCAGCGTTTTAACGAATTTTTTTCAAAAGATTCTTACATTCCTATTTCAGAATCCTTATCTTCGTTAGACAGTATTTGACGAAAAAGTTGTACGAGTAAATCTATTCCTCAAACTCGGATAAGCAAACATACTTATGACACGCTAGGAATGGTCAAGTGAATTTCAACCTTTCTTGCCATCTTTGAAAACTTATTAAATATCTTTCTTTGTTTACTCACACCTTGTCAAAAGTGTGTCTCTTTCAAAATCACGCTTAGAGTATCTTGTTGATACGATGTATCATATAAATTATTTAACAGCCAAAGGGTATTAAATTTTTTTCATGAACGATATTTAAAAAAGCAAAAAGATTTAAATCCTTTCACCGAGTTTCATTTATTTAATTCGCATCTAAAGTGCAAATAATCGATAATGTCGCTGTTTGTCCATGTAGATTTATAAATTCATGCTCTAGTAAAGAGAAAGTCCAGGTTGATTTCAAAATTACACACCAAAGAAAAGGAAAACAATTTGCAAAATTATAGCGCATACATTACGTGCATACGATATGTGCGAAGGAGTGGCTTCTCCCTTCGGGAACAAAACATGTGTCTTCTTTAAACACTAGTAACATTCACATTCGAGAACACGAGCGAATGAATAAAAAGAAACATTTTCATTATTGATCATTCAGGAACCCCCATTCAGGAACCCCCATTCAGGAACCCCTTATCTTGAAATCTTGCGTTTAATACGTCAAATTTCGCGAATGTTTTTAAATCGAAATAATTGTATCGTAAACATTACGCGGTAATGTCATTTTAATTTATTACCACTGAGTATCTAGAGGTTTATCAAAGATCGATATATTTTAAGCGACGTGATTTAGGCGAGTCACGTAAATCATATATCTCTATGTGCATCGCCTTTTGTGACTAAATATATGTACGAGCTCGATGTTCGTTCACGTATCGTTCGTTTTTCTCGGCGTACATTCGTGTCGCAATCTCTCAGGGTGGTCCACATCGCAAAGCTGGATCCTTCGAGGTCGCGTGAGACCACACTCGTTTTCGCACATTCCGTCCGCCAAACTGCATCCAACTGTATTTTATGGACGCACTTTCCTTGATCATCGATATGTGTGCACTTAATCGTATCCACGTAGTAACATGCAATCAGAGGTGAAAGTACGGCAAAGCGACAATCGCAAGTGAATCGAATTATGTGGGAAGGTACTATTAGCGATGTTGTAGCAATGTTTTCATCATTAATCTCTCATTCAGCACGCGATCCAATTACGATCTAACGGGAATTAATAAATTATCTTTAGAGCGGCAATCTTAGAGACAATCTCGACACAAAATTGCACGGTGATTCTCAAGATCAATTGCTAAAAGTGCAAGGTCAGAATGGAGATCGGTAGCGTAGTGAAAAGTCCGCGTCTGTTTGTTACGTGAAATGCAGTGCAGCGTCAGAATTGCTACTTTCCGCGAGGCTCGGTACACCGTGGCAATTCTATTTTACGCATCAACTCGTATTCGTACCGTATTAGGAAACTAGCAGAAAGGCGGTCACACACGCGTGCCTAGAATTAGATAGCCATCGGTAGATTTCCAGTTCCTTGTAGGAAAAGAATCACGGATCACCGCTCTTTTCGTCACATTTCACCTTTCTTTCTTCTTGCTTTAAAGACTAAGCAGGAATTTCTAAAACACTCTTCCGTAATCTTAAACAATGTTTTTTGGAAAATATAAATTTGTGTGTGTGTGTATGTGTATGTGTGTTTACTCGATTAGGTTTATCCAATTATCCAACTCATAAAATAATTAATGCGATACATTGTACATTATTATGTCACGAAGAAACAATTAATTTCGGTTGCAGTTATTATGTTACCAGAAACAATTAACTTCAGTTGCACAATTGATAAAATCAAGCGATTAATCAATCTTATCTTAACCTTTCAAAAATGCCGCATTATAATATTTTGTTACGAGTATAACACATTGTGTACAGTATATTCAACTTTAATTGTTTATGACTTTCGTAAAAATGAACACATTGTAACAAAATTTTTTTCAATCGAAACGCCAGACTTTAAGGAATATAATGCTATCAAGCGAATATATGTATCTTTATTAATAAAAAGTTTCGAAAAAAATTATTCTATAAGAAAAAAGGCTGGTATACCAGATCGAAAATAGCATTGAAGGGTTAAATCAATAAAAATTGAAAGGCTAACTGTCGATTGATTAGGTAGATTCAAAAGAAAAGTTTTATGACATTAACCTCGTGTACTCGTTTCAGGAATGCAGTCTTCATGTGTAATCTAATAAGTTAATTAATAAGCGAAAACTTTCACCTACTTCGAACTTCCCAAATTTAGTACCGATACGATAGTAATGATCTTCATGCAGTATATTTCGTTTCCATATTCCGCATACAGTTAACAGAACAATTGCTTATTGATCCTATAGTTATTTTAGGTCGTTCCAACTATCTCTTTATGTTCTCGTGACCCGCAGTTCGTTTTTACAATTATTCCTTCTGTACGACTTGCTAAATAGGCTTGTAAAATAGCGAAATTTTTTTATGAAACAATTTACAGATATATTACGGCGCCATCCTTGAATGTTTTTGCGACATTCAAGCAAGCTTCGTAAAATTTTGTACACATGGCGCGCACGTTTTTACGTGGCAGCCCGAGACATGACGAAGTGTAAGGCGAAATATTATGAATATCCTTTCCCACGTGTAGCACCAGATGCTAACTTTTGTGTTGGCTCTTACACATCAAAGCTACATAAGACTTGCACGCGCACGCCACATCCCGTAGCATGGCAAGCCACCGACTCTTTTTAAGGTGATTTCACATCGGGCGAAGCCCGATAGAATGCAAAAAAATGTGGTCAAACATGACGCGAATGTCGAGTCGTTACACGGTGTTACGCCACGCCGATTTCTTTTTGCGCCTTACGCGGCATTTAAGAGAGCCAGACGAGAAGAGTTATGAGAAACTATAATATTTTTTACGTAATTATGTATATCGTACCTAATTTAATATTTTACAATACTTTGGGGAATTAAATAAATTCGCGAAAAATAGATTTATATTTAATACTAAACCGCGGATCTAAACCGCGGCTAGCTATTGTCAGATTCTTTTTCAATGCAATCCTAGCTAAAATTGGAGCACGTAATATCATAAATTAAATTAGATTTAATGAACAAGCAAAGAAACTCTTGAAATAAAAAAATATAAAAAATAGGATTAATAATAATTTAGCACAAATATTATATTTATACACTGTTAAATTTATAATGTCAAATATACCATTAGTTTAAGTTACTAATTTGAGCTGTTTTTGTATTAATTTGAATGATTTTTCTATAGATCATCACTGCTCCTATCCAATATACAGTTTATCTTGATTAAAATAATAGAGTTAAACAAACAATTTAATTCAAGAAAATATATTTGACTCAAATTTAATTTATTATTTACTGAATACATTAACATGGACGATATTTATATTTCGACATACATAGAAGTTAAAAATAACAAAATATTATTTAACTCAAGGGATTGAGTTACTCCTTCGATATCTAACAGTGTCTTTTTAAGCGAACGATTTCAGAGTGATGCGTTCTCGACGTTAATAAATAGGAGCGTGCTTATCACAATTTCAGTAAGCTCTTGACAAACTTTACATAAAAACGATATTTCGAAGATAACACGCGATGCACTGTCGCGGCAATGCTCGCGTGACGTGGCATCGAGACGACAAAAAGAACCTTTTATACACGAACCTATTATAATTTGGTGGAAGCAATTCGTGGGAGGTTCTATCGGGAAATTCGACGTAGAATACGTTCTGGGTCATTTCGGCTTCGGTCTACGAGTTCCGTGCAAGCTATAGATCCTCAGCTATTGATTATTCCCATAAATTAGCAAGAGTAATATCTAATCGTTATCGAAATTTCTCATGAAACGGCATTCGCCGACCTTGGCGATGACCTAAACTCGTCCGACGAGTTTTTTTTCTTCTTACCGATCAATACTCATGTCGTAGAAATACGCTTCATTTCCAATGGATAATGTATTTACTTATCGTCTTGTTGATCCAATCGGCCAAGTCCTCCTGAAGTGGTATCAGCTGACGACTCTGCGCCGAGTGCAGCCGTTCGTGATAGAACTCGAATTCTTCCTCCTCTGGCGAAGGTCGCGGCACGTCGGCGCGATTAAAGACAGAAACCGAGGACGGTCCCCAGCTACTGCGATAACGGGTGTGCTGAGAGGATGGGAATCGATTGGCGTACGACATTTTGAGGCAGCTCCTGCCAACGTTCCCGCACGCCGGATCCTGTCTCGACGCTTCTCTCCTCGCTCTCCTTGGGTCCTCTTCCAGGACCCACTTTACTTTCTTCGACAGCTCCCAAGCTATTCAAGAACGATGTCGTGTAGAGACGTAAGCCTCACAATCAAGTACCGCCTGAAAAGCAAAAGAAGGCTATCGTTATTGTAGAAAACGAAATCGCATCCAAAAACTGGATGCACACCGAGAATGCTAATCGAAAGCGAGAGTGCGACGATAAGATGCGACACGAATCTCTTCTTAGAAAATGGAGAAAGAATAAGACATTCGAGATATAGATGAACATGAATGTGCACTTATGCGTGCAAGAGGATCCTTTACAATTTCTCTGAGAAGCCATAACGAAACGATGGAGTTTCTTTCCTGTCGAAAAAGGGCTCTCTTTTAAGTGTCTTGTCCGCTGTTATCTTTACAGCTATAAATAATTCAAGACTCAAGATGAGAATATCTTAAAAAATATCTCTTTACAAGAGCAATTGAAAGTTGAAAGCGGAATTAAAATCAGAAAGATAAATATTAGATTAGGATTAAGTTAGAAAATTCTCATAAAGTTAAAAATCATATTTTTTCACGGAAATACGAAGAACGTCTGTGCATACGAATAAGTATTTGTTGGTAATTATGTCTACGTTTGCTGTTATATCGCGTGCTTCGATTCTACGAGGGAGCATTAATGGAATTCAAGAAGTCGAGTGATTAAAGAACAAAGGAGTCTGAAGAGCGAGTATCGAGCACGAACTGTCTATTAACTCAACAAAGGCTAAGCGATGAAATAGAGTCTATTTTGAATTTTGCAAAGTATCTAGTATTTTTTTAAATGGGGTTAGCGTTACTTCCCGCTTCCGAAGAAGCACATGACTTCAAAACAAGAATCAACACTCACGCACCAATAATTAATTAGGTGCTTTTATATCTTTTTGCAACGAGAAGAAACTTTTCTTCACTCAGAGAAAGATTTCTTCGATTCAAAGAAATGTTTCTTTATTATGAAAAAAAATTTCTTTGATTTGAACGTCATTTCTTTGATTTAAACATTATTTTTTTAATTAAATAAAAAATTTATTTGATTTAAAGAAATGACGTTCGAAGAAATTTTTTCTTTAACCGTAATAACAAAAAAACATTTCTTTGAATCGAAGAAATCTTTCTCTGGGTGTTTCGTACAACATGACAATGCTTTCAATTACGCGTTGACTCAAAAAAGTGATCTTACAGTTATAGTGAAAATTATCTAAGTACAAAAAATTAGCTAAAATAGATAAATTTCTAACGAGTACTGCGATATTAGATATGTGTTGCATCTAATTATAGATAACAGATATAGAATTTAAATTTGTGCTATAAATTCTATTCGTATACATAATAATATAGTATAACATAGTACAATTTTCTATACGTAATTTTCCATTAGATACAAAAAACAGCGATAATTCTAACTGAAGCAGCAAAATATTTTTTTGCGTGCACGACTACGCACTGTATACGATAAAATTATTAATCGCGCTACCAATACCTAAATGCTGATGTAAGAATTACATATCGATGTCTCTGGACTGAGAAAACAAATCACCACCCATTGCGATGTTCGCGGACAAACCTACGAGCGTCCTTCGATATATCGCGCAATTATTTCTATTATCCATAACGCAATGTATTATCGCGTCAACACGTACGCGTTTCTCAGATTCATAGATATTAAGAACAACTCACTCGAGGAGAGACGACTTTCTTATCGAAATCTCTAGCGAGACGAATGACGGCGAGCGACAAGTTTGCGAAACTGGTGAAACTCAGCATTCGATCGGGGCAGATGAAATTGTCGCTGCGCTCGATGCTTGTGCGTTCAACATATGCGCACGTGGGCGCAAAATATCCTCTCACATATATTACGGTAGATATTTCTATAAATCGCGATGATCAATCTTTCGTTTCCGCGATTAATAGCATTTTCATTATACTTAAGTTAGATAGGGCGAATGTCAGCTTCAAGATCGTTTAATTAATTTCCGACCTAGACATCTATCCATACGAAATGGAGAAATTATTAATACGTCGAGATCATTACAGGTTTTTTTTCATCGTAGTTTTTTTTATATAAATAATTATGTAGAATGCTTAAGCGTTGATGGCAATGCTGCAAAAAGTTTTAACATGTTTGAACGTCCCACACTGAACAAAGTTTATATCTTAATAAATATTTTTTTAAATATTTGTAATTAAACATTTACTGAATGTTAATATATTTATTTGATACATGAACCATTAATTTGATTAAACTATCATTTTTTTTTTCATTGAGTAAATATTTATTTGCTATAAGTAAAAGTTTACTTACAAATATTGAAAAAAGTATTTATTAAAATAGAGTAAACTTTTTTCAGTGTATAATTATTTTAACGGTTCATAATCTATATCTGAATATAATTAAATAAGTTTTAAATATGTTCATAATATGTTTTAAATTTTTGAATATGTTACTTCATTATGATATTGTTTCAGCAAAACCATTCTTTCCGAATATTCATTTTGATTTTTGTATTCAGCGTTTTTCCAAGAGCCAGTAATCAGAATTGTCTCTGTACTTTAAGTAATAGCGAAAGTATTAATCTTAATGCATCGAAGAGAAAAGCGATGCTTTCGTTGGACTCTGTCAACATTGGTCGGCATGAAGATGTTGTAAATCACGCAGAAAGTGCGCGTGATATTTCTCAAGTACTCGAGTAGCAATCGCGTGCAATTATATCGCTTTCGAAAGAAAAATTCGAGAATCTTTACGAATGTATTTAGCGTGATCTCAGTTTAAAGTTTTCATTAAGACCCCTCGAACGCCTCGATTCCTGTTGCAACAATCAGATTTACGTAAGCACGCAAAAATAAATAAGCACACGAGAAACCATAAGATCTCTATATACGGCGTACAGCGTTGAGAAGAGAGAGAAACAGAGATCGTGTGTAGCGGTATTGTAGCGTTACGAGACGCTGAACATCTCGAGTTCCTTAAGCCGAACGTTGTTTGTAAGTGTAACTAGTAAGGAAACGCAACGTACACATGGTTACCCTTGATCAAAGATTTGTGTGCCCAAACTGGGAATAAACCCGCTGCCAGATTCAGACGAATTTATCTTCCTGAACCGGTGCTTTCAAACACACGATACATACACGGAATTCAAGAAGGTTTTATTAAAGTATTTAAAAATTTAGATAAACACAAATTTCAGAACAATTTTTTTGAATCATCAAGATAATTATGTAGGAAACTCAAACATGATGAACAATGCTACAAGAAATTTTGACATTTTAACCAGTTGAGTGTCCTATATAATTTTGATAGTCCAACAAAATTATTTTTAGATCTGTATCAATATAAACTTTTATACGGAAAGAACGATTTAGCTATAATATCTAAAAGCTTAGCTAACATAGATCTGAAAATAATTTTGTTGAACCATCAAAATATTTATGTAAATTGAGAAAAATTTCTGGTTGAAAATAAACGAATCAATAAATTCTAATCATATCAATCAGAATTCCCGTCATCATTATTGGTTATCTCAATTAGAATTATAATAGATTTAGCAATAAAAAATAAAATATGATTTAATAAATAGTATATTTAATAAATAGTAGAATAATAAATTCTGATTTGTGTTTCGTTTTCCACTAGAATTCCAATTAATGCAACCAGACTCTGTTTCCAGTGTAGAAAACTCAAGCATGATGAGCAATACTACAAACAAATTTTGACATTCTAGCAACCAGCTTGAATGTCGTACATAATTATTTTGATAGTTCAACAAAATTATTGTCAAAACTGTATCTGTAACTGAATTTTTCAATACTTCAACAAAATCGTTCTGCCCGTGAACTAATTTTGAGTTGTAAAACTTATCGAACGCAGAGACGGTTCCACGTCGGCTTTATCGAACACTCTCAAAGACGTTATTCATAAAGACGATATTGTGTAACTGCCGAGAAACGACTAAACAGCTGTACAGATGACTTACGAATCGAGATACCAAGAGATTAACGAGATAAATACCGTTAATATATCCGATTCACTAAATCAAATCCAAATGTATCTCTACATCACTTTATTATTTCTTGCTATGAATACGTAGACTGATTTCATGATAATAATTTGTTTGTGTTCTAAAAATAATCGATTGGGTTATGAGGTTCTTCTCTCGCCACTTGAAAAACATCGATAAAAACATCGCGTGAGCATCATTAGTCAAGCTTTTATTTTTCGCCAGATAACGTAACGGCCGCCCACGGGATGACATAACTTCATCGCTTTATACGTTTCGATCTCTGCATTAATTTATAGACTCAGTTGCACTGCTCTATCAATATCCAACAGCTGGACGTAATTGCATAGTTATTACATAGCGTTACTTTACGCCTACATTCAAAAATCACGATGCCAATCTTCATAAGCAGCCGTTCACTGCTTCTCGTGCAAATAATATTAAGCGTGATATAACAACACTTTGTAAAGTTTTATTCCGGTAAAGAATGCATCGTCCATTTTAGAGCACGATACGATGGACGAGATTACTTTAATTAATGCACACAGTGCACATAATTTGCGCAAAGCATGAAAAATATTTACTAATATAGTCTCATTAACGTTTCAAAGTTTCATTTACGTGTGTGCCTCTTCTCTGTCATAATATGATATAATAACATATAGTACATTTCGTTTACGCGAAAGTACTATCTAATTAACATGAATGGTTCTGCAAGTTTTAAAAAATTGTAAACATTAATTTCTTAACAGGATTAAAAAACAAACAACCGATTAATTAACGACGAATTAATTTACTTTTTTTATTTTTTTCTTATTTTTGAATCAAGAAAATCAAAAGTAAGTTAAACCAAGATTAACGATGTATCATTGTGTACAATCTCTGCAAAAAGTGACTGGAATTGGAAAACATCTTCCGGATAAAAATGAATGTTATACATACGAAATAGCATTTCAATAACATAAATACTAACAATTATATTTAACAATATAATTTTTTAATTTAAATAAAAATTTTCTTATTTTATCTTAATTATAATTTTAAAAGAGTCTACTTCTTATTGAAATAATGTTTGATCCAGGTTTTAAA